TATTGCTTTTCCTAGGTATGTATACATAGGATTGTTGAATAAAGATCGTAATTTCACGAGTAACTATATTCTTTGCAAGGAACGCTTGGTTTTTCTTCTTCGCTCCGACGCGACCAGCGTCCGCTTCGCGACCCTACCCCGCTCGACGGTGATTCTCTGCATTTGGTGGCCTCGGGAGACCTTGAACCTAAGTCCGAAGTTCCGTCCGCATGGGCACGCTTGGAGCACAAGGACGCCGAATTCAATTCAAATCACTGATAACAACGAGTCTTGGTCTCGTGTCGAGCCCTCAAAACCGGTAACGCTCACGTGAGCAGGACACGTGGGAGTATTCGAGATTATGGAAACACTTTTTAGGCTCACCCGGGAATCCTTGCTCAGGCAAGACGGGGTTCGATGCCTTGGTCCTGAGGAAATTGATCCGATCTCGGTCTGATGGATGGAGTCGCAGGTATTGAATATCACTTACACTATATATACTAGTTGCTTGCCAACACATAGTGTCCATTCGGACACGTGCAGATATCTGCGAAACCGCCTTCAAAAACGGTCGGCCGGGCTCGTCATTGGAAAACAGTATAAAATTTAAAAGGCTGGATGGACCAGCTAGGGCACGCCTCTTAAAGGGGCCCAATTTTTCCCCCATGCCAATTCGTGTTGGGGTTAACCATTCACTCGTGGTCGCTCATTTCGATCTCGACATCGTCGACCCTCTGAGACGCCTGGGTCTCGCGCTAAGGAGGGAGAACCTCATTCATAGGTGGCAAAAGTCGGCGATGCTGATGATCCACAGGTAAACAGTGATTCCGGTCGCTCCATGCTACAGAAATCTCCCGTCGACGAGCGGGCTACGATACAATCGGCAGGGAAATCCTATTTTTCAGATTATCACAATAGGGTTAGCCTTCCAAAACCTTCGCACCGTGGAGAAGGGTCGATCTTCGCCTATACAAGTCGATGGCCTCTCACGAGTCAGCGCCACGACAGGGAAATCCAGAATTCGGCGATAGAGGATTCGTCCTGAATTGTTCTGCGGTTTCGAATCGCCGACGGTTCGGATATGAGCCATTCCTCACCGAGGAATATGCGGGGGACATATGCAAAGCTTCCAGAAGCTCGAACACGAAAACGAGGGGACAGACATCTACAAAGGAGTCAGATCCTGGGCTCGGTGTCCAGCTACCGCCAGCGCGGCGGAGTAGATCGAACTCGGAGCGTGAAAGATGGAGCTCTTCCTCCGGGAACAAGAAGGTATGCGAGCGGGAGCCCTTCGCGAGAATGAGAAGATTCCCGAGAAGTTCATCTGATAGAAAGATCATTCGACTCGTTGCTCGCTCTTTTGTGTTCTCCGACATGTCTCTCCATCCAATTCCACGCGGTCGTCCAAGATGGCCACGGCGAAGCATCAGATCCTCTTGGAGGTGATCCCATCGCTGAAACAACGAAATGTCACGAATCCACCAATTCCCTGAGGAGCTTACGTGACATGATAGAGTGAGATCCGCGTACCACACTCCTCATGATGGAGACTCTCTCCGAAGGAGAAGACGAAGAGGAGGGTGGAGGTCAGGATTTGTTGGGAGATATTCAAGCCTTTCTTTTCTCATCTAATAGACGCGAAAGCTGACCAGACACCCGCCTTTCATTTAAAGACGTTCTCGATGTGTGGGCCGCAAAGGTTGAGGAGTATATAACTCAGCCCCAGAGGAGCGTCACATGGAAATCCTTCCGTGGAGAAATAAAGAAAGCGCCTAAGAAGAGGTCGAGGAGATATCGGGAGCGGGGCGAACCACCGTGGCGTTTTTTCCTATATTTCCTGGTTCTTGTCATAGCCGGCGTTGCCGGATTTTTCGCTTACCAGGACTTGACCGAGGATGGATCCGCGCTTGATTCTGAGAATTCTGACGGAATCACTGCGATTCCCGATGGAGTCCTCGGAGAGGAGGAACGGACAGATTTCCCTGAAGAAACTCCCGCCCCCCAGGATCAAGGGATGGACCCTCCTGAAACCGATCCTCCCGTGGTAGAAAGCGACCCTGAAGATGGAGGAACCGACCCTCCCGAAACAGAAAGCGACTCTTCCGAAGAAGAGACTAACTCTCCAGAAGATGTCTACCCCTCCGAAGGAGAATCCGACACTCCCGAGGGTCGTCTTCTTGGGGATTGAGCAGGAGAGGTTGCGAAGATTTTTGCGAGAAACTTCTGCGCAAGCCCAGACAAGAGCTCTGCTCGAGTGGACATATTCATTGATTTGGTAATTCTTCACTTTATTAGGCATGACGATGGCGAGCGTGTGTAAAACAGCACAAGGCAATGGTGAGGGAATAAAATGGACAAGATATCACGAGCGTGGATGGAGATATTTCTTTGAGGCGTTTCTGAAGGTACTGGGCAGTCGATGGACTGAGGGTCCATAGGGGGGGAGTTCCAGGCGTGGGGAATCTGGAACAGAGAGAGGCGAACCCGGAGGGGGCGAGGGAGGGGGAGATGGAGATCGACAGGGTTGTGCCTCCTGGCTGAGGTGGCAACACGGGGGGGGGGGGGACAGAGGAATGGAGGGAGTAGGCTATCACGTCCCAGGAAAGCAAGACAGTCGAGGCGGTAGATGAGGAGTTTCTCCACATCATTAGTGTTGGGGAGATGGGAGAAACATGAGACAGAATACAAGGAAAGTCAGTAATAAGGATAGTCTCCGATGCCTCGTGGAGCTGAAGCTCGCGACAGGAAATCCGTCATCGTAACATGGTGCAGTCGGAAAGAAGAACTCCCGGGAAGCTTGATGAAGCCTCGAATTCCCGGTGCCTCCATTGAAGTAGGAGCGTGGTCAGAGTCTTCTGAAAGTCGGATCTGGATCTAGCTCCGGTAGGGACAGGATGTACAGGCAGATCTGAGACGAAATACGGAGCTGATGTGGGCTTCTTGAGTCGTATCCCAAGGAATCCCCCGTGTACACCGTGGAGCAAGTCTCTCGGGGCCGGTCATAATCATGACAGTGGGTCGTTCTTTATCAACGATCAAGGGGCACTATGTGCATTCATGTTCTCCTCGTTTTGCTATGGAGACAATACATTTCGATCTCGAGGCTGTCATCTCCCGAGGATGCGATGAATATCGTATGAGAAGCGAAGAGACGTAATTCTCGACAGCAACCTGGACGCCATCGAGAGGCAAAGGGATTGTGGAAGGTTGTCACGGTCGTTGATCGATGCGATTGGATCAGGATGATTGAAACGTCAATATTCCGCAGGAGAAGTCCCCGAAAGAAATACTTCGATCAACAAGATCGAGATTCCATCGAACGATCAAAATCATTGACCGATCACATTATCCTCGAGTGAATGGCATCTATGACCTAGGACGTGTGGGAGGACTGAAGCCACATTCTTGAATAGAGATCTCCATTATTTCCAATATGACGAGTCGAAGGGGTGGCATCAATGCAAGAACATTCAGCACAAGGGGATTCGGAGCTGTTGTCTCTACGCTCGACGAATCAGAGCCGGTTCCGACTCCTTTGAGCGAATACCTTGTGTTGACGAGATATCCCAGCGCCTTAAGCAGGCAGGCTGATACGAGTTGGTGTCATCGAATCGCGAAACCAGTCGATCGCGGACAAGACGGACTCAAGAATTGGAATCTTCCTCTCGGAATGTTTCGGGAAATCGTGGATCCTCCATCGGCTGCTCCTTTCAGCCGAGATCCATTCGAGCTCAATTTCTGCGGAGTGGTCTCTACTTTGACTCCTTAGGGAATGCGATACATAGGGCTCCGGCGAAGCCAGTCTCTGAATACGAAGGGTCCATAATAGTGATATATGGTACGACTTTCCCCGGACTCGACCCCTGTTAAACGTCCTCTCGCTGACCAGTCCGGCGACACGCTCTCAATCAGATCGATCGCCGCGCTGCCGGTCCCAAACGACGCCCGCTAACATCGCAGGGTATCGTGTCAGCTTGGAGAAGAGGAGTTTGTGAAGCTCCCTCGTATCTCGCCGGAATCCCGGACCTCGGACAGAGTTCGATCAAGCCGATCTCCCATCGGTGTACACATATTGCTCATCAATTCATCAATGATAATGAATAAAGATTCATGAGACACATAGAAAATAAGACTCACCTCCCTCGAGCACCAATCTCTCCCTCGGAGATCGATGAATTTCGTCGGTGACCGTGAAGGCTCCAATTGCATAGTTGCAGATAATTTGTGGACACGAAAATCTCCCTGAGCGACGACGGCATCGGCGGGGCGCGATTCATGGAAGGACCACGCGGACGGATACCCTCCGATGACGAGCAGACCATCTATGACTTCCTTTTCTCCGCTGATCACTTTGTCAGAGATATCGGCAGCGCAGAGCCCCTGGACGACGCAGCACGCAGAACCCTTTGCAGAAAATGACTTCGGTTCCGAAATGGTCTACGAAACCTACCCCGTCAGTCGGAAACAAAACTTGAATGACATATGGCATCCATACAACGGCGACGAGCCCTCGACGTTCGATCGTTCGAACCCTCTGAGTGGAGGCCATCGAAACAGACGGCTGTGGCATGAGCCCGGAGTCTGCTGCTCATCCTTGAGCATCATCGAGATCGCCCCTGTTTTTCGAAGAGTTTCGACCACCTCGAGCATCGGTGGCTAAGTCCAGGCAACAATCCGGATTCGCCTACTAGAGTCGACCGTGCCCTTCCGCGAGTCGATGTCGGTGAATAGGAATTTCCACCAACAATCGGACCAAGTCATGATCGAACGCAATGTGCTCCGTCTCACATGGCATCACAACATGGATTCGTTTCCATAACCTTATGTTCCGCTGGTGTCCATGTTCCCGTCGAGGGATAGACCGAGTTTACATCAATTCACGTGGTGAACCATACTCAGTACAATCGGCTGACGGCGCGCCGCGTCCGGACGCTTCGCTTTCCCGGAGGTTCGTTTCGGTCCGTGTCGCTCCCAGAGGAAGTCTCGGGGAGCTCTGCCGTCAAGTTTTGTTCAGCAAAACGATGAGGTTCACTTCATCAAAGATCCTGTGTGCTCATATTATGCTGTGGTTCTCGATTTTCTCGGCATGTATCGTCGGAGCTTCAACCCAAACGATAAAGGAGTTCCGCAGGAAGTACACCGCGGATTATATCATCCGAGACTCCGATCACATAAGAGAAGACCTCAAGTATCTCATCGACGTTCAAAGCTCTGGCTCAATGACTGATACGGAGGCTTCATTTTATGTCATAAAAATGCATGACTTCGACGACAACAACCTCCTGGACGGTCTCGAGCTGATACAGATGGTGTCACATTCCGCTACACTTCACGAAGACGCGGGAAAAATCACCATCGACTTCATAACGGCGTCTGTCGATGCTTTCCTCATGTACGACGAGAATCAAGACGGCTTCGTTAGTTATGCGGAGTGGGCATCGAGTCTTCTGAGGACGAGAGCGCGCAATCGACGAAACTGAGAGCTTGCGATCGCTCAATATCGTGGACGATACTTCAACCCATTGGTTCGCAACCTAAGTTCCAGGAAACCACAGGGTTCTGCAAAAACATCAGCTCGCTTGTCAATAGCCGTAGTTTTCTTCTCGAATTAAATGGATTGTTCTCTCTAATGATGCATGCAGTGTACTCCGAGCTTCGCGGGTTGACAGTCTCGCAGTGATGAAGGAGCAAAAATGGATGAATGTCTCTCGAAACCCGCGACGGGCATGGGGGTCAGGGAACCTCCGCTCTGCCTAACCAGCGAACCTCACCAAAACTTCCTTAGGAAACAAGATTATATTGATCCAGGTGCTTGAAGGATAGACCTACCTCGATGGAATGCCTTCGAAATTTCTCATTTTCTGGATGTCTGTCTCATATCCGGGCTTTTTGTCCGGAGTAAACAGCACATTCTACTCGAGGCTAAGAGTTGATGGTTAATCGCGGCAACTTATCGACTCTGAAACTCTTCGAAGAACAATCGGACTAGATGGGATGGCTCTCCCCGATCATCAAGCTGTCTCAGAGTCACTTGCTCAGAGACGGGGATCCGGGCTCATGCTTCTGCCTGAGTGCTGCCATGAATCTCTATCGAGGTCCTCTGCAAGGAAGACTCCGCGGTCCGCCCGTGTTCACAGGCGAACGAAGCCTTCCCTCTGTCTCCTATGTTGAATACCCGATTTCACAATCGTGATTGAGCGTTTCGTACGTCATCGGTTAATAGTGAAGGCGTCCCGTACCTCCGTACGTCATCGGTGAAGGTGATAGATTTCGGTGCGATCCCTCGTAGAATACCCTCCATATTTCAAACTGCGCGCGGCCTCTCTCTCTCGAATTATCCTCTCATGACGGCTCCTCCTTTCCCTCCGATTCGTGAAACCGTCCGCCATCTTGTGGAACCAAATGTCGTAAACCCACTTGATTCCATCAGTCGTAAGCTCACTGTAGCCTCCCTGCTAGAGGGCTTTAATCCGCGCGAAAATGACGGCTGGAGAACAACAAAAGGCCAACGGCCATGTGGAACCAAGGCCTCGTGTACTCAAGCTTCAGGTTAGTATGGGGAACTTCAGATTCGTAAACATCTCAGAGAGTGACCGTTGCCTTAGAAAAAGCGCGACAAACCTACAGTCGGCATCTGGAACGGGTTTTCATCATTGACAGAGCGCCTCGAGAGATTTTCGGTGTCGAGTTGGGTGGAGAAATCGCTAAAGACCGACTCCGTATGTCTCGGGGATTCCCTGAGCGTCTGAGCGCCGGGAGCTGTCAGAGTTTCGAGCTCCTCAGAGAGTGAGTCATCTAGCAGTGAGGTGGGGTGCTCAGCGCCCTCCACTTCAATAGAGCGTTTTCACCTCTCCGCAGAGTCATCCCGTGGTCGAACCCGATCCTAATTCAAAGCGATATTCTATTTCATTCAATCTTTTAGGAGCTTGGCGGCGACTGTCTATGGCGGAGTATGAGTCCAGATTCGTATCCGTTTATTTACTTAGGAAGCTTGTGTATTCCCTGAGAAGCTTCATCAGCTACGATACTCTGACGAAGGCTCCATCTCGGTCGAGTGTAGCGATTCTCGGGGCCTCCGTAGACACATCAGAACGCGGCGGATCGTTCCCGATTCGCCGGCATAACCTTAGCACGAAGCTCGGCAGCGGGACATTTGACATGTCAGTGATCTGTCGAATATTCTTGATTTCGTCTCCGTTCTCGGATATATTCCGCTGATCCGAGGAGGACAATCTAGAAATACAGTCACACCATCGATTTTATTCGAATGCCATCATTGGAAGCGTCCGAAAGCGGCGTTCCTTATCCACATATCGCCTGAAGGCTAAAGTTTCTACCGGGTGACCCAGATATTTTCGGCAACTTTGGTGTCACATCCGGGTCAAAACTCTCGTCATATGATTCCCTAGCCGTGCATCGATCGAAGTGGATCCAGCTAAGGAGGGAGTGAGCATAAAGTTCTGGAAGAGGCTCCGATTCCGTTGAAGAGAGTAGCCCCTGAGCTCCCGCCCGAATTGAGCCGATCCCGCCTGGCGTTGCCGCAGATTTTCTGGCGGACGACGACCAACGAACTCCTTGCTTCCATTGTTGGCTCGCGTGAATCTACAACCGCTGTCTGATCTTTGTTTTCGATAAGTTCGCCGGCATAGATGCAAATTGTGGGGACACCACGGGGTAGAAGAGCTCCTCAGACATGATATTCTAGAGAGTATTTGTCGCGTATTTTCGAAGCTCAGTCCGCTCGAATCGCATCGAATTCAATCGATGCACGAGTCCACAGGATCGCGACAGCTCGAATTTTCTCAGGAAACCCACTGGAGTCCGCTTGGGCTGTCAATAATTCGGAATTCAAAAGTGCTGTGCGATCGAATCCTCTCGTAGGCTTGGAAACAACAATAATCGACCAAGCGCTCACTTAGCATGACTCGATGCTTCGATTCACAGGATGACGTCGGCTTCCGCACCCTCCCAGACCAGAGTGTGAGACGGCATTTCCAACATGGATTTGCGTTCAACATACTTTGCATCGGGGAGACGGGTATAGGGAAAAGTACTCTCATGGACTCCCTCTTCAATTATTGTGAGTCATTTTCTCCACAAAATAGTTGGGCGTATCGAAGTCTATTTCTTCTCTTTCGCGAAGACAGAGCTCTGCGCCCCATGAACACTCCGCTCAGATCGTTCCGCCACCTTTCAGCTTTCGATCTTCCCCCATCGACCCACGACCACCCGGAAGTGAAAATCATGTCGAAATCGTTCGAACTCATAGAGAATAACGTGAAGCTGAACGTAGGAATCGTAGAAACCATGGGATACGGAGACCAGATCAACAAGCAGAAAAGTTGCCAAGCCATAATCGACTACATCGACTCGAAGTTCGAAGGATATCTCCAGGAAGAACTTCAGATCAGCAGGAAGCTGAGCACCTTCAGAGATGGACGCATCCATGTCTGCCTCTATTTCATAACTCCGACCGGACACGGTCTTAAAGCTCTGGACCTTGTGTGCATGAAACAACTCGATTCCAAGGTTGGTCGACTTCTGTTCCTATCGAGCACGTACATACACGATCAGATCCACGGAGAGCTCAAAGACCTCAAGCTCGACATTGGAAGTCGCGTGATTTTCACCGAGAAGTTTTTTGCTCACCAGGTGAACTTGATCCCTGTGATCGCTAAGAGCGACATTATCTCCAAGCAAGATCTCGCGTCCTTCAAGCGGAGAGTCCAGAGCGAGCTCACAAACAGTGGAGTTCAAATCTACCAGTTCCCCGTGGACGATCCCATGTCTCCCCAGGACGCGAATAGACAGTACAATTCTCTGATGCCGTTCGCTGTCATCGGATCTCGGGACCTCATCAGGGTCGGGAGTAAAACCGTGCGCGCTCGCCAGTATCCGTGGGGTGTAGTCCAGGTGAGGGCACGGGGAGCCTTTCTCAAGTGTTGGGGGCGGCAAACTCGGAATCGGGAAGATGATCCTCATGAGCCTCGCTCCCCCTGTGCGGCTCGGATCCAGATGGGGACGTTTCAAAAACCATTTGTTCTTCGTTTCCAGATCGAAAACGACACCCATTGTGATTTCACAAATCTGCGCGACGCAGTTCTGCGCTACAATCTTGCTGATTTAGTCGAGTCCACCCACGTGAAGCACTATGAGCTCTACAGGCGGATGAGACTCGTCGCGATGGGCTTCAACGATGAAGGAATCAGCGACTCGAGCACGTTCGAAAGAAAACGTGCCGAGCACCGAGCTGCTCTCCAGAAAAACGAGGAAGACATGCGGCAGGCATTCGTGGATAAAGTAAGTCAGAGAAGCGATGACCTCTCGAGTGAAACGAGTGACACCCTGCTGGATCAAGACGACTCTGGAGAACTTAGCGGGAAACATTTCTCACCGCCTCAGAAACGAACTGATTATCTCAGTTCCACGTATTCGTATGAAACCGATGGTCACGTACGGATGCTGGCCGCTCGTTTCGGGAATTCCTTCCATTAAAGAGGATGCGCCAAAGAAAATCGATCGACTGATATCCATATACTTGTTACTTCTATCGGATATAGGCAGCCACCAGTCGTCGCGGTCCCGTGGTTGAAGCGATCCGTTGAAGCGCGCGATCCGGGGACTCCAGTCTCGAATTTTTGGATTTTTTCGGAGAGCTTTTCGACACTAGACTATCCGCATATTCCGATCGAAAAGAGAGAGTTACTTTCCCTCGCTGGGGTCGATCCCTGCCTGAAATCGGGGCGTCGATCATGAGGCGAGTATATGCGATCGGGAACGACATGTTTCCAGGTTATCGTAGAGCCTCCATTGGAACTATTCATTATAATTGTTGTCATAATAATGGGTTCCAGTGCGATAGCGACCCCGCTGTCGTCCTCCCTCGGCTCTCCTCGTGTAATAAATAATATTGTCATTCGCCATAGAGCTTCGTCCTGAGTCGGACTGTACCCCTCTTCTGATCCCATTGAATGTTTGTGTTGGCCTTCTCGCTTTGCGCGGGAGGCAACGTCCTTTCTCTGGGCTGTGTGAAGTCGGCTCTTCTGATCCAAATTTCGAAATAGATGCATGTCCCACTTTTCCCTCCGTATCTATCCTCTTCGCTTCCTCTTCAAGTGAATGTTGAATGTTCTCATCAGGTAAACCTCAAGGAAGCGGAACTGAAGGCGAAAGATCAAGCGATGAACATGCGGTTCGACGCTCTCCATAAAGAAGTAAGTGGTCTGAAGCACGAATGCTCTGATATGTCGACCGGTCATTTTTCAAGGTTGTGATTTCTCACCTTGCCTCAGGAAGGCCTGAAACGGACTCTGTCTCATTGGCAATCATCGTTTCAGTTCATTATGCAACAGAAGAAGCTAGAAGAGGATAAGCTCAACCTCGACGAGAGGATCAGGGATCTGCAAAGGAAACGACAATTGGTTCAACAGCACAACACCATGACGCTCTCGAAGAGCAAGAAACGATGAGCTTCCTCAGACCCATGTTCTGCACGGATCGCTCACACCACCTGCTCAAGTTTTAGAACAACGACTTCGACGCCTCTGCATGTCAATCGGTTTCCTCTATCCCAGAGAATCCGTTCATTTTTTTCTCACATCACACGTTTCATCTTAGGGCTAGTTTTTGAGGGTAAAACAAAACTCATTGTGTTGTATTGTTTCCTTACACAGTGGATATATCAGTATTGACGACTCTCTCTCGGCAACGAGGAATTGTTTCGTAGCCGGTTGAGACGATGCGTTCGAATCCCAGACATCCTTTTCGCCAAACTCCCGATTTTTGTCAGCATACAAAAAATGTCGAGTTCCTCTCGCTAGATTCCATCGATCAAATCTATAATCTCCTGTTTTCGTGCCAAACTCGCTCAGAGGCGTAGATCATGATTCGTGATCGAGAATCAAACTAAACGCGAATTGCCGATTATTCCTACCTCCTTCAACGATGCATTACTGTCATACATTGTCTCTAGAAAAAACCTGACAGAGTAACGTAATAATTAGGTAGAGTGGAAGCGAACAAATAAATGAGACTGGAAATCAGACGTGCTCTTTAGGCAGGCAGAAACGAGCGCTTTTTCCTGGTTCGATCGGCTGACCCGTCGGCTCCATTCGGGTCTTGGTCTTCATCTTGGAGCGTCTTCGCCTTCGAGTTGACTCCTCCCAAATGTCTTTGGATAGATGTGATACGACTTTTATTTGGAAACTATTTTTCCGGCTGCATGAGGCGGATTTGCGTTTCCTTCGGTCATTTTTCGCCTTGCCTTGAACATAGTTCAGAGTTTTTCCTCTCCGGAGACAGACAATCCAAGTCAAGAATGAATCCCCGAAATAATTGAGGAATCTAAGCATCTAAAGTCTGGGATTCGTCATGCTTCTCATATTCACTGAATGTTGTCGTAAGAGATTTCCTAACAAAAGTAGGCATTCATAATTCCGTCTTCCATCACGAGACATCCGAGATGGATTCGCTGATCGCGTGAGTCTCGCTAGACAATGGCTTGACCAAGGAATATCGCGGGCAACGGGTCTATGAAAATCTCTATTCTTTCAATGTGTTTGACGTTGACATCCGCGTCCCAAAGATGAATCTGGAATGGGGTCTCAACAGCGCCCGCCTCGAGTTCTACGGCCTGTGGAGGCCGGCTCTGGAGCCGGGACGATGAAAGGCATCAAGAGAAGGAAAAGTCGGACTTGGGATCGGAACGAATTCGCGTTGTAAATCAATTTATTCCCATGATATTCGTTAAAAAGGGATCCTGGTGACATCAGCAATTATTTCTATCTGCCGCCTTGAAACGCATATCGCATTCGGAGAAAATGACTAGTTTTCCATCGGAGTAGTCTACGTCAATCGGAATGAGGTTTGGGTGCTCGATGTCCGTTGAACATGATCGTTATACCTATGTTTCGCCTAATGAAACCTTCGTGATTGTGATCGCCGTAGAGGTCAAAACGACCTACGAGTAAGTCAAAAGTCTACCGCGGCAGAGATGGCAGGGACAACAGGGATACTTGAAAAGTTGGCGCGTAAACGGCGCACCTTCCAAGTCTGAGATACTCTCGACTCGGACAGTAGGATGATCGGCTCCACTTCGCTATGCTCTGATTGCACTAATCGTCAAGGCTATTCTTCGTAGCTTGGGATCCCGCATGTGCCTCATCTCAATATCAAGCCTAATCTTCCTCGGAGGGCAAGCTCGTACGGTATTCACATATCCCAGTCGATGCTCAAAAATACGCTACTGAAATCTACCGCCGGAATTTCCGCTAGCGAAGGCAGCAACAAAACCGTGATCAAGACGCTCCTCATCAATAAGGAACCGTCGGAAGCTCGTGCTGCGCTGGCTGCGAGACATTTCTCGCTCTTATTGCAACGCGCATTGAGGGTTTCATGCGCACAGGGTTTTATTCTTCATGTAAACATCCCAAATGCGCCGCATTTCAGCTGGAGATCGAACTTCGGCGCGATTGAGCACGTTCCCATTGCAGTCCTGAGCGCTACAGGAGAAGAGCCCTTCACCCAAATACTGAGGTGCCGTACCCAGGAGCCAGGTTCCCACCGATACGTCCTCACCCTGGAAATGGTGTAGACTCGCTTTGTTTTTGGCTATGTATTGAATGAGGTCTTTCGAAAGAACGTAGGTCGCCCCGCATGGGAAGTCCGGATAGACCTGCGAGGGGAATCCGACGTTCTCCGCCCATTTACCGTAGAGCGAGATAGGGAACGCCCGGCGGGTTTTGGCCCAAATCACTTTATTAGTCACGAGGGACGTACTCAGTATGTGCTTGAGCCTGGAGAGATCGAGAACGACGTCATCGTCCACCTTCACGAGAAATGTCAACGGCTGCTTGCCGAAATGCGCGAAGGTCTCGCTTATTTTGTGAGGCAAATTGCGGTAAGTTTCCACGACGTTGACGTTGACAATGTCTCTGTATTTATTCATTTCGCTCAGGATCAACTGATCCAGTTGCTCGATGCGCTCTAGCCACAGACGTCTGCGGCGTAGAACGCTCAACGCGGACAGTTCGGCGGTGCGCTCCACAGAAAGCTCGGCTGAGACTCCTGATAATGTTTCAAGACCCCAAGGTAGACTGTGCTCGTCCCTATGATCGTAGTAGACTCTCTCGTATTCAATAAAATCCTGTTGCAGAAACGTCGTCGCGCCGCAGTAAGTACTAATATTGCCCGTAAGCATTAGAATGCCTTCAAAGCCCTTGCTCAAGCGGACCAGTCTGGTCTTATGATATCTATACCCATCCATAACATCGTCATCGTCCTCTATGCTCACTTCTGCGAGAACCTCTTTCGATACAGCGTCTAAAAGGTGAACTTTCACACCGCGTGAAGCCTGCAGTGCTCCGAGTTTCCGGAGAATCGCTGGATACTGAATTCGGAAGCTGAAGCCTATAGCGGTGCGCGAGGCTCCGTCGGTGCACTCGGCGTGCTCCCCGATTCGGAAATGACCGGAGGAAATATTTGGATGGAAAAATTCGCATGAGAACTCATCGACTCGATCACGGGGGTCAATGTTGCACGATTTCCCTCCCAGCACAAAAAACGCCTTCATGTTGCCTTTATCGGCAAGCCACGTTTCACGGATTGCCTTTCGTCTTTCCAGATGCTCTCTGTAGAAGGGGGTGGGAATCATTAGAGGTGCGTTCCGAGGAGTGTTTTGAGTGATTCATAACGGAGGATCCCTTCAGACGAAGTCACCCTCGAACTGATATGCGCTCTCTCTCTCGTCTGTCATTCCTCGAAATCAGAGTCTCACTCACCTGTCAGAGATGATCGCAACCACAATCATGGGCATCGAGTTCAGCACCTTCTCGGCCTCCAGCAGGGTTTGGTAATACATGAAACCCTTGATGAGAAAGCCGAAGAGCGCGAAAGTGACCGTCACGAAAAGCGTCAGTCGACGCTCATGCTCGGGGAACATTGTTAAACAACTTTGATATGTGAAGCTTCTACTCTGATGAACCCTTGATCCGAACCTGGAAGTTGGCCCCGTTAATCCCTCAATGACTAATATTGGACGACAGAAAGAGACAGACCCAATCCGCATATTTTGAAGCTCGAAAATTAGCATGGTGCATACCTCCTATTGGCTTATTGCGATAAAGATCCGGTCATTTGTACGTGATGGTTAGGGTGATGAGGCGTATTTGAGGCTGAATGGAAAGCGTCGGAAGATAATCTCAAGAGAATCTCCCATGATTCCGCTGTAAGCTGGAGCTACGAGAGCCCGCCACTGGAATTGAACACCAGAACGTTATCCTCGTCCACGCTCCGTCGCGAAAGTGAGATTTCCTCTCGACATGATTCCGCGTTAACCCTCTCTTCAATCTAGTTCTTCATTTCACCTCCGGACGACTCCGCGCACTCTGCGAAAAATGTCGCAAGATTCTCTATCGAGTCCAGGTTTGGGATGCGATGGCACTCACCAGAAACACTTCTATTCGATGAAGAGAACCAATTGACTGAAATACTCACCCTGGGTTTCAGAAAAAACTCTGGATCGTCAGCTGGACACTTAGACCAATAGCGAATTTTCTCTCCATACTCTTCATTTCTGAAGGGAGCCCAAATGGTTCCAGAGCGGAACAGCAGGGAGAGGAGGAGGTGAATCCGGACCTTGTCGTCTGCTATGCACTCCGAGAGACACTCACGAATGAACGTATGTCCTCGCATTTGGTCGCTCGGCGGTCCGTTGTTCGCCGATTGAGTGAACTTTAATCTGAGGTGTCGACCAGCACTTATCGGTGAAGCGGAAGATGGGAAGAAACCCACTCTGGCTCGGGATACCAGTCACCTGAAAAGGGGCCCGCATCCAAGTTTCCTTGAGACCCTGACATTCTACCCGAAATAGCATATGGAGCAAATTGGAAAACTTCGATATTGATGCAATCTCAACGGCTCGCTCGAACGAGCCTCGGGGAAGGTTCTTCCCCCAGGACAGAGACTGTTCCTGGTTTCTCCTTTCTCCTGGATTTAGCTGGACATCCTCTCTCCGACTAGGGATCTGTACCTCGACGCACAGACAGCTGAGGAGTCGACGCGTTCTCCAAGACAGAATGGTTTGCTGGACTAAACAGCGTTCGAATCATATTTTTATAATTCATTCAAGTGGTGGATATGGATCATTATCATGGGTAATCTGAAGTCATCAAGGAGAACGCAAAGAAACGGCTCGAATCGACCGAAGCGGATCCTGACGATATCGATACTACTTTTGAGTCAAGAGACGAATGTATCCCGGAATCGGCGAGAGTCGTCAATTGGCCATTCCACTCCGTGAGCGAGTCGGTGTATCTAGAGCTTCCTCGATCGAACTGCTCTGTTTCCTCAGATCTCCATCTTTTCTCCTTGTTCTGCTTCTGGCAAAGGATCCGCTGAAAACTTCACGGGGATCCTAGCCAGTCCCTTAGCGCTATGTCCGAATTCTCATGAAGGACGACTGCAACGATTGATCTAACTGCACGGACCGCTTGCGATGACATTGCGTGAAGATAGTGGGGCGCCGCCTCAAGCGCGACCAACACCAGGGAGCAGATCACCATTCGACGATTCCAGCGTGGCTTTGATAAGACAAAAATGGCAGCAAAGTCCCATCGAATGCAAAGTTCTGGCAGATTGAATACCCTTTTCCATGAATATCCGTTGCCACCGTCCATGCGCTCTCCTAGGGAATCTCCCAGACGCTTTCTCTAAGAACTCAAGGATTGTCCTTCTCGTGCGTTCAGCTCGCGTTTGATCCTCTTTTCGGTCGATAGTCCGCAGAGCTCTGGTGTTTCGGAACCTGTGCCTTACACAACTTTGAGTTCCCAATCGCGAACATGAAATTTTTCTCTCTCTTCTTGGAGTCATCCCCGGGAGCACGCGAGTCACGCAGTGGTCACGCAGGAACTCCTGTTCCTGATCATCATGAATCGAACGGCTCAGATGCTGAGATTCATCGAGCAGATCTTCGTCCTCTACATCTACATCCTCGATGTCGCTCTCGGATGGGTTTTCTTCCCCCACTAGAAGGAGTCCTCAATCTGCGACTGCAAGAACCGGTTTTAAGTCTAGCGAAACCAATCCCTCGAACCTGATTCTTATCCTCGGAGACGTTTCGTTCAATGAATTCCCTCGTCTAGGTTGAATCGATAGTACCCAGCTCCACCGATCCGAGATTTCACTCTCTCGATGAATTCGCGGGGCGTGATCTGACCCTCGTCCAATGCTGCCCAGAGACTGCTAACCCGCTACTCATTCTCTACATCCAGACGCTTCGGCGCTGAGCGTCCGCAGCCGTCGGAAAAACTGGCGTCCGACGTCCACATCGAAATCGACGACGGAGTCGACTCCGGCCTCGCATTCAAGAGCAGCAGATGAGAAGAGAAAAGACTCAAGCGTCCGTCTTCCCATTCTAATCCAGTTCATTCAAAGTCTTATCGTGAAGAAGATTTGGGGAAGACGATGACCGATGAGATTCCACGTTTCGGCTGCGTCTCGTCACTTCAAGGAGGCGTCACTTGATTCTACGGCATTATTGGTTCCACATTGGGCCTTCAATACCGATAACTCCGCTGAGCTAACGACCCGGAGCCAATAGGACATCACGTGGTCGACCAGCGAGTTCAGCTGAGATGGAATCGAGCTGGTTCTATCCGAATTAGACCGACCAGAGGCCCAAGCATCGCACATCAGTAGAGGAGCGGCTCGCGCAATGCTTCTAAACACATTTCGGATGAACCCTCAGATAGCAGTACACGCGTAGTAATCCGATTTTCCTCAACGCCTTACTTACCTCCAGGACTCTTCCGTTGGCCTCACGCGCCAGCTCAACGAAAACCTCCACAATTTTCTCGCCGGGAAGAGACTTATGAGTCGAGCTCGGAAAGAAGACTAGAAAGAAAGTCTAGACTTCTAGACTTCGGAAACGAAGTCTCGTTGACGAAGGAAACTGCTGACGAGCGCGTTTGAGCATGCCTCCGGAACGTAGATTGAGCAGTATTGCAGTGGATTGAGAACGGCCGGCGTAGTTCGAAGAATGGGGACAGTTGAGCAAAAAAAGGCTAGAGTTAGCGGGCTTCGAGGACGCCCGACGCCTAAGCGAGATTCGGGAACGAATGAGGAGCGAGCGGTCAGATTGCGTTTGGATTGCGGGGATCGGCCCGTGGATTGAGGGTCTGGGACAAGGTAGCAACGATCAATGAGGATAGAAACGTATCGGAAACGCTACGACATCTACCGCAACACCGTTTGAGCTCCGAGTAAAACAGCGAGTTCCTCAAGCAAAAGTTGTGTAGTGTGCGTGTGAGAGAGATTTCCGATGACTCTCGGGCTAGTATCTCCCAGGATTGTCGGAGTCTGGGTGACCCAGGCTCGATTTCTTCGGGTTAATCCCACTCGTGAGGGCCGGGCTCATATGACATTGTGTCCATCGCATGTTGCGGCATCTCAGCATCCACCTCATTGAGGGGCATGAGAGCCCGTGTCAGGGCTTCGACATCAGCGAGTTACAGGATAGAACATCAGGGAAGTGAGCGGCGGGTGCTTTGACGTGCGGGAAGGTTATGGCTTTTCTCTCTATTCGAGGAGAGCCTTGCCGGTCGGTGACCAGGCAGCCAGTCATCGGTAATCTTGGTCGCTCCCTTTAGTTGTCGTCGGTACGTATGTAGCGAGTAGCGAGCTATGAAGGCAGGCAGCTTGGCTCCTTTCACCTGCTCCAGAGCCCACTGCACTCGAAGTCCTTAGCCTGCTGTCCTGACCACCTGGCCCTAATCTTCGCATTGGCGGCGAGCGAGCTAGCAGGCGAGCGAGAACATGCACATAAACCGGGGCCTGCTGCTCGGCCTAGAACTTGGCATTCATTGTCGAAGACGTCGTCGCTTCATTGGTCGTGGACGTACTCATTGTCAAGTTTGGAGAGGGGCTGATGTCCGGGCTCCGACGGCAGCTTGGCGGGGAGCCCGCTCATTTTCATGAGGAATGCGCTGGAGCAATAAAAATTAACCGAGTCGTCCGATACAAGTATTCATGCAGGTAATTTGAGTTTCGCGGAAAAGTCGATGTCGGACTCACATCGAGATGATTCAGCGTATCGATGCTTGGTGATTTGGGTCGGGGGCAGAGAATGAGATCGACGTCGACAAATAGCTAATGTGTATTGAACAAATCTTCGCAACGACGCCGACGCAACAGAGCCTCGTGTCGAGGAAATTTTCTCCATCCGTGTAAACAGATGCGTTGAGCAAACACCTAGATGAGAACAGTCGTTCCAGTCAGAGGAGAATCGCTGTCAAGCCCGGCGCCGAATGATGGCTCGAATCCGATAGAGCGGAGCGATTACCGTCTGATTCCTTCGACGCGGTGCCTCCGACGTGAGATCGTAGATCGACGCCTCGATATACGCACCAATAAGGAAACCCCTCACGGAAATTTCGGCGATCTGGAAGAGTTGCGAGCCACCTGATGAACAATCTCAGGGAAAGATACTCTCTAGTGAAGGCAAAGTCCCGGAGCCAAAGTCGCAACATACCAACGAATGAGAGCTCGCGCTACGCTCTCATGCACGCTTTGTCCCGAGATCACAGCAGGGTTCGTGATATGCGACATGTCGTCTGGTGTCCTATCAGATTGTAATATACAGAAAACTTTCAGAATGAGACTCAGTCATCACTGAATTGGCCAGGATTGCGTTCTGGGCGAGCACTTTCGGACTGGTGGCTCGATCCCTCCCCCTGCCTTCAGACCCCGCTGCGCCCGGCGAAGTCCGCACGCAAATATTGCGTTGTTGGCACGGAAATCACCACACAGCTCTGGAAGGAGGCATAGTATCCGAAGCTTTCTTCGAGGTGAAGACTGTGCCAATATCTGGAGGATAGGAATCATACCCCCGGGTTCGAGTGAGGGCAAGATGACGCTTGTTTTACGGAAGTGACTCCACAACTC